ATTAATCATTCAATTCTGCCCATGCTCAAGACCCTCAGTCCACAACACACGGCTCTAAACCTCAGCTCCAGCACTACCACCGACCAAAGGTCCATTAGGAGTTAAACCCCGGGCTTCTGCCGTTTCAAGAAGGTTTTGGAACCAGAAATCGAGCTTTCCGACCTCAATGTACTGGCGTAAGATGTCGTTTTCAGTCTGAAGGTCGAGCGCCAATCTTGATTTTTGCTCTGGGCGGAACCGTGAAACAAGAATATCAGAATCCGTATCAGCCATCAGGGCTTCTGTAGGAGAAAGAGCCGCATAGATGGAAGGGCAACTTCCATTTTTTGGATCTGGGAACGATGTATTAGTTAGATTCACATAACCCACAAAGGCTGCGAGCACTCACCCTCCTCCAAGCATGCGTTCAAAGTTCGACAGAGGGAGGTGTCGCTGATGGAGCTAACGGAATCGCCATTGGACCCTTCAGCAGCCTTGCCCCGAGCCACCCAGTCATCCTTGATCATGCACCGTCGCCATATCAACCTTTGCAACGCCGCGAGGTACGAAGAGTCTCGCTGGCCATAGCGACCATGATCAAGAACCCGTAGAGCTAGATGGAACTCGCTCTTTACAACTTCATCATCGCCGTCCTCTGCATGCTGCACAGGGCCGATCAGCGTCAAAAGGTCAACCAGATCGTCGACGGATACAACCTGTCTGTTAACAAGGGTGGAGAGAGTATCACTCAAAATTTCACGGAGCGATGGCCGGTCTTCGAGTAGGTGACCCCCATAGCACTCGAGCGCCAGTTCAGCCTCAGCCTTTCGGTCAATTGCGCCCTCCCAAACCGGCCGAAGGTGCTCATAGAGAGTATCCTGGATTCCGTCGACCTCAATGTAATCCTCAAGTCGTTTAACATCATCATGCAAGGCCAAAGAAGGCTGAACCTGTGGATGCATACGCTCTTGTGTTGCTAGCTTGCTTAGTTTGGCTAGCGAGATTTCAACACGGTGGCTCCACAAGTCCTTTTCACTGTTAAGCGCCAGATTCTCCAGTGAGGCTGCGGCAGTGTCGTAGTCATCCTCGCCCGTCACATCATTAATCCAGCTCAAACGAGAATATGCGGGGGTTTTCCTGAGGAACCGAGTCACGGCAGGCTGGTATTTCCGCATTGCAAGCAGCGTTCCTGGGTAACCAAACTTGATTCTGTGGAAGAAGTATGCATCCGCCCAAATATCTCCAAACTTGTCGAAGTAAGTGGAAATTAATTGCGCAGGATCAAGCTGATCTGCACTTGTCGGCGCACCTTCTGAAGACCCTTGAACCGGTCCATTTTTCTTTTGATCCTGAAGCTCGACGATCAACTCGACCAGGGCATCCATATCTCGGAAGCTTTCTGCTAACCTAAGAGCGTCCTGAAGATGACCGACACCGGCCAACTTAAAGAGGTGCCACTTGCGGTTTTCGACATGCATATGTTCGAGCAAAGAGCTCTCGTCGACAAGCTTTGGATCCCCCTGAGCAGAAAGCCATCGAGTTCGCTCCTGGTGCATTTGACCGAGAACACGGAGATGCCGAGCGCTGTTTGCTGCTGTTTGGTTTAGGACCTGGGCATCAGGGAAATCTGCACCCGACAAGTTTGCGCTGTTCCACGAACGTCGACTATCGAGTTCCAAATCGAGCAGCTTTCCTGCTTCGGTATAACCCACCCCTCTCGATGTCCAGAACTCGGGTAGAGTCTCATATCCATCGGACAGAACACCATCCTCCACAAAGTCTTCGCTTAAGCCATAAAGCGCAAGGTGCTCTTCGCGATACCGGAAAGCAGTTTCCATGACTGCCAGGAATAGCTCACTGGCCTCGAGGATCTGTTGTGAGAGATTTCGTGCACGATCGGGAGATTCGAGCACATCATCGCAAGATTCAGCTCGACCGAGTTTGACAGCGTTTTTGATCCATGGAATAATATGCTCCATGCGGTAGGAATCTTTCAGGAACCATTGACGCACCGAGTCAGTCTCCCCGTATTGCGGGTCAATCTGGGTCTTGAAATTGTTGCTCATTGATTCAATGACATGGCTAAGGAAAGACTCCTCGCTTTTGCATTTATAGGCCTCCTGGACCTTCCACATGGCCCTTTGTGCTGCAATTTTCTCAGCGGCCCACAGTAGCTCCCATTTTGCTGCACGACTCAATGGGTTTCCTCTGCGTAGAAGTAAGGACGCAAGGTCGTCCAATGCCTTTGCCCTCAGTCGAAGATGTTGCTCGAGTGAGATTGTAGTGTTTGGAATGAAGCGGGATTCAGAATGAAGTAGTTCCCTGCATATTTCCAAGGATGCTTGTTCAATTTCTGATGCAGGGAAATCCAAGCCACCTTTGCTGGAAAGATCTAACGGGTTCTTTGCCATGGTCCCGAAGAAAACAGCCTGCTCAAGTTTGTGCTTCGCAGTAACTTGAGGCAGCTCGTCAACATCGTCTTCGGCTTCGGGGCGAGGTAGTACCGTGACACGAATCACTCCGAAGTTCCGAAGCATAAGCACACATGCCGCACAAGGCATATCCTGCGATTGATCCTCTGATGTGAACCCCAGTATTTCATGCTCTTTGCCAGATCGCAAGTGGATGGTGTCTTGGAAAGGCAGGGGTAATTTATTCGAATCAAGAAGTAGTTGTGAGGTCGGTGTTTCTTCAACGCTCGTCAGTGACAGGATAACAAGAGACTGACCAACGAGAATAAAAGCGGTTTCCTCTGGTTTCGGAACAAAAATCCTGGGCTTTGGGTCATTGAGCATAGCTGGAACATGATGTAGATCTACGGGGTGCGTAGAAACCACACGGGACTCACTGCCGGACAAGTGAACTTGAACGACAAACAGTGCCTTATTTTCGGACAATTGAGGCGAGCCAACAACCAGAAACAAGCGCCAGGATTCATCCGAAGGTTGAGCAGGGTCATCAGAAGGTTGGAGGACAGGGAACGCAAAGTCCATGATCTTTAGGTCTGGGTCGTTTGTCGTTTTCTTTGGATTCTGAGGAAGAGCTGCCAAAATGTCATCTTTGGCATCATATCGTTTTTTAAGCGCATTTCCGTGATTCCAATGTGTATCCCAGATCTCAATCAGCCCAGAAGAAGTCGCAATTATCACATCTCGCTGGCCGCGTTGATGGGAACCGCCAGCTCGAACAGCGGTAACTTCTTTCCTCCAGTATCCGCCTCCCAGAACATTCTTAATGCCACCAAAAAGCCCACCAACGCTGGCACCGGCGGTACTTTTCAGGAAATTGACGAGCACTGATGGTTTTCCTTGGGGGTCCCTCAAGGTAATGTGTGCTACTCGTCCTGTGGAGAATGTCGCAATAATCCCCGAAGGCTCCCCATTCAGGATTTCCGTGGCATACTCGCCAGACAGCAGGCCAGGTGTAGATCCTTGGATGCCGTTTTGTTTCTGTCGAGATAAGCCCAATGAGGCTGCACTAGATACAGTTTCCCAGTAAATGATTTTCCCGGTAGAGGGGATGAGCACTAGTAAACCTGGGTGCTCTCCTGTAGCTGTGGAGAGTAGAACGCCGAGTGGGACTGCGCCCTTTGGATCTCTGCATGACTCGGGAATCGATACTGTGAACGTGTCTGACGGGGATGGAGACGAGGCGGACACAGAGTAGGGCCATACGATGGCATGCGAGTAAGTTAGAGCTAGCGCGTGGTCATGGCCGGCCCCGAAAAAGCACCTAAGCGGTCCTCCTTTCAAAGGGTTAGTGATCTGCACCATGTAACATGAAAATAAAAGCAAAAATATCAAGAAAAAAAAGTAACAGCAGACGCATGACATACCTGACTGTAAGCCGCGAATTTGGTCTGGCAAGGCTGGCAGCTGATCCACATTGTAGAAATCGGTACTGGACTTTTGATATCGGCAGCATTAGCAACCTTGGATTGCAACGCGCAAAACTACGTTACTCACTAGGGCGATCGTCCCCTCATTGTTGTGTCCAAGACCATCATTTTGTTTCGCAGTACGAGTCGGTAGATGAAGACCGGTATTCATTGAATCCGCAGGGGCATTGTCATCATTGGAAGGAGTGGGTGCAGCCAATTTGGCGATCTCACGCCCCAGGTTTGTGTCGGAATGGGATTCATCCGGGCGTCGCAAGACTGAGCGCTGCCTCTTGGCTTTCGGTGGCTTGACAGAGTCGTCTGAGCTTGTTCTCGGGCGCCGGCGAGTATTGCGGCCACCGGCTTTAGGAACAAACATTTTCGAATTGCGCCTAATCTGGAGTCGCGAATACGTGCTGGCAATAGCAAAGAGGAAAGAAAAAAGCGGTGGCTTCGGAGAGTCCTCAAATTGTGCGCTTGAGAATTGACACAGGGCCAGGGATAGTACGAAAAAGCAAGAAGATATTCCCCAGCAAGAAATGTGAGGAGCAAGGTGATCGCACCGATCAACAACAAATGGCAGATGTCTGAAGGCGGTGAGGAGCCTGCAGGGACTCCCTGTCAACCTTGTCATACTTTCCTCTCCTACTACCACTGTAGTACACTGCATGCATCATTGGAAGTCAATACGGAGCTTTTAATGCCCTACTTTACTGCAGTTTAGCACAAAATCAGGTCCTATATCATAGTGGAGTTTTGTACAAATTTTACCATGCCTCCACTATTCTTGCCTGGATAGGTTAGACCTCACTATTTACATCAGGTAGATCTAAATTAATGGTTATTCCATGATGTACCATGAATCTGTATCAATGTCCCGAGGTGGCTGTATGTATGTATTTACTCCGTATGTGGAGATACTTCGCATCCGATTACCCCGAAATGCTCACGTGAATCCCCATCTACCCCACGCGGAGTTGCTCCCTAAAATACCCTAACTGCCAGGACAATCCCCCTTTTGTCTTATGGGATAGGCTGCCCCTCTGACATCAAATACTAATAAAACCAGCCATCATGCTCACATGCTGCGTTGATACAGTCAAGATCAAGGCCCCAAGGGTTGCCGCATATTCGCAAGTCTAAGATGCTCTCACAGTCGCCGCATATCACGGGTCATCTCCGAATGAGCCGCATGCGCGTCGGATCGCAGGCTACTGCCGCAAGATCCCGGCCAACGTTTACTACTTCCCTGTTCCCCAGACGAGACCTGCACACAGCTCTATTCTTCCCGGGTTTGTCTTACCGCCCCTTCTACTTCAACCCCGGGAAGAGAAGCCGCTAACACACAGTAGGACATGGAGTTCAACGGGTTGGCATGGCGAATACCTGGATTGAAAGCTTCCCTCACACGGCCACTCGGATCTTGGACGAGATGGACAACACCCTTGGATTCAAAATGTCCAGCATCATATCCGATGGGCCCAACTCCAAGCTGAACAAAACTGAAAATTCGCAACCCGCAGTCATGGCAGTCTCAGTTATGATACTTCGCATTCTTGAGGACGAGTTCGGATTCAACGCCAAATCTCGGGTGGACGTCACGCTTGGACACAGCCTAGGAGAATTCTCTGCCTTGGTTGCCGGTGGTTATTTTGAATTCAGCGATGCTCTCAAACTAGTCCGACGCCGAGCGGAAATAATGGCCCAGTGTACGCGAAACCTGGCCGAGAAATCTGGGGAAACTTATGGAATGGTTGCTCTTCTCTGTGAACCTGAACATTTGGACAGTTTACTTCGAACGGTTCAGGAATTCCTAGGACTTGAGCCCCCAGGCATCGAAAGCGACCCATACCACCCGGTCCCAGCAATACCACAGGTGGTGGTCGCGAATATCAACTCAAAAAACCAAATTGTCTTGAGCGGCAGCCTTGACCGAATCAAAACTCTCCTAGTCCAGCTGCGTCAATTTGGAGGTCATGATCCACGGGCTGTCAGATTGAAAAGTGACAGCCCCTTTCATAGCCCTTCCATGGCGCCGGCTGCAGATTACATGAGAAATGCGCTTGAGCAAATAAATATCACCTTCCCTACTTCAGTGCCATGCATATCAAATGTTTCCGCCTTGCCCTTTCATTCTAAGGATGATCTTAAGAATCTCCTTTCCAGGCAATGCATTGATACAGTGAGATGGTGGGACAGCATACGCTATCTTCACCAGGAGCGAGGTGTGAGGCGTTGGATTGGAATCGGACCAGGAAAGGTTGGCAGGAACTTAGTTGGCAAAGAGGTCGGGAGAGTTGACACCAAAGGTGGAGGGGTGTGGGCTGTCTGCGATCCCCGTGAAATTTCAAACATCATGGTTTCCTTGGAGCAGACTGAAATTGAACCTACGAGCCACCAACCATTAACATGATGACCGATACCGGCCTGTTTCGTTATGTTTCACTTATTTATAACTGTCGAGCAATGAAAATCTAAAGTTGATAGAACCTCAAAGATCAGCCAAGTGGTGTGAAGTCTGTGAAATTATTTCTGATATGAATGCAAATAGGGCACTCGGTGGAGTATCTGGTTAGCTGCCCTCTCCTGTGCTTCAAAAGATTTCCTTGGAAGTTTTTGCGCGGCCACAACACCATGAAAACTTGGGTATCATTATTATCCTATCCTTCCCTTATACGGCGTTTCCTGGTGCCCATGAATCACCAATACGCTTCACATCCGCAATGAACCTTCGATTAGAGATTTGCTGGCAAGCCGAGAGAGAAGCAGCTTTATTGCCAGGAATCGGTACGTGATCGTCGGGGGAGTAGAATGGATTTTGCAAGAGCTGAATATACGCACTTTGCAATGCTCGGAACGCCTGTATTCAATTGTCAGAGAAAGTGTGATCTACCGCAGACAACTTCTAATAGACAATCTCAAAGCTCACCGGTTTCATATCAGAATCTCTCAAGCCACTTATAGCAGGGCCAGCCGTTTTCCCAGCACTAGCAGCCTCTTCCTGGCCGAATACATCCACAATGATCAAAAGCTTGACTCCGGTGGTTGTCAACCAACCATATGCCGCAAGTCGTTCATCAATCGCATGCAACAGCCCAAGATCCTGATCAATGGATGTTTGCTTGCACCGGATGTCAAAGACGTCAAGGCACGAGTTCAGTAAGAAAGAGAACTCGATGGTGGAATCAGAATAGGGAGGAAACAAGGAAATGTGAAGAGGATTATCCTATAGTATACCGTGTCAGCTTATCAGGAGCGCCTTGTTACCAAGACAATACCCACTGCCTTTCCAATCACACCAATGCAGGCAATCTTGGGGCCTGACATTTTGGAGACGAGCTCTGGCGTTCTTTATCTTAATCGGATGTAAGGTATGCCTCACTGCGTCTTAATTTGGTGACTATTCCAATGTTGGAAATTTATCTCTCAATACCGTGCGTCATGAGCAGGATAAGTAGAACGGAGCTTGTCAACCATGCGGAGTAGATGGAAGACGCACTCAGGTATCAAGGCAAAGAGAGCAGAAGAACCAATGATGATACAGGCAATTGGATTTACGAGCATCTCACCGCCTTTACAATACCCCATGCAGCGACTGAAAAATACCGCTCTTGGACCAATGATCTCCGACGTAATAGCTTACATCATCGTCATCAAACCAGTACTATACCATCGCTCTTCCCACTGGAACCCCAAAAGTCCTCCTTGTCTGCAGCACCGGAGCCCGCCACAACTGCCCTCTTTGTTCATAGTATCGCCACTGACTAGGGCCCAATTTCCTTCTCTCTTCCAACTCCCACACCTTTTCTTCGGTTCTTGTTCGGAAAACGACTTTCAAGATGTTGCCCATGGCGAAGCCCGCCATCTCTGGCGCTCTGTGCGGTAGGCGTCTCTTCTTCTTGCAAATGCCATCCCACTGACTGAAAACAGCAGCGCGACCTCGCCTTGCACTTTCTCTTCCCCGTGTTCAGCCCTTGGCAGCCCTTTCGACCTCCTCGGTCAAATCAGCGACAGCCCTTGAGCGCCGAACATCAACAGGCCAGCAATTGACCGCGTCAGGCAAGGCCCGGAAGGAAGTGCCTTTGGCAAGTCAGGAGAAGAAGGAGGGTGCTATGCAATATGTCTTGTTCGTTTCCTCGCGGGTTTACGTTTTCCTCGATGGCTCCCGCTGACCTCCACACTAGGACTACCCTTGATCAGGTTGCAAACTGGGCCCGTCAAAGCTCTTTGTGGCCTATGACCTTCGGTCTTGCATGCTGCGCTGTGGAGATGATGCACTTGTCTACTCCCCGTTATGATCAAGATCGGTTGGGAATTATTTTCCGTGCCTCCCCACGTCAGTCGGATGTGATGATTGTCGCCGGTACACTGACAAACAAGATGGCCCCCGCTCTCCGTCAGGTCTATGACCAGATGCCTGATCCCCGATGGGTCATCAGCATGGGAAGTTGTGCCAACGGTGGTGGCTATTACCACTACAGTTATTCCGTCGTACGCGGCTGTGATCGGGTCGTGCCGGTCGATGTCTACGTCCCTGGATGTGAGTACCATGCTTCGTCAACTTAAATGTGCAATTTGACTAACAGAAATACAAGGCCCACCAACTTCCGAGGCATTGATGTATGGTATCTTCCAGCTACAGAAGAAGATGAGGCATACCAGGATCACTCGCATGTGGTACCGCCGTTAATTTTTGGGTAATGGTGTGGGGGATCGTTTCTTTGCCTCTTCAAACATAGTGCATGGTGAAATTCTAAGTGACTCAACCCAACCGCCGTGGAGTCTCTCTGTGTCTTTTTACTTTTGTATATCAATATCAGGCTTCAGGATTTGATACATTGCTTTCGTTCTGCTTTTTTATTTGAACTATTCTCTCGGTCAATCATCAAATTATTGATTCAAAATTTCAAGACTTTTATACATTGGCTGAGCAAGACCACTTGCGATTTGTAAGTCCTTCCAAGGGTTTAAGGTTGACTTGCTTAAGCCAACATGTATATTGAAGTGATTCGGCATCGAGCTACTCAATCGGAATCCTTTTGGACAAAGTTAACTGTTTGATAGTGTACAACATGTGTAAACCAGGTCATATAACGTCTTTTAGGCACATATCCCAGTCTAGCCATTGACCATGACCCCTCCATTGGGATGCAGACACTGTCCAGAAATATAGCTGCTATCTTGACTTGCGAGGAAAACAAAGCATGTTGCAACCTCACTGGGCTGACCCGGCCGGCCAATTGGCACTGCATGGAACTGTTCCATGGCAGAAGTTTGCATCGTCGATGGAATAAGAGGTGTCCAAACTGCCTCACAAGTCAGCGGTTGCTTCCTGGGTAGTAGATAGTTTTGGAAAACCTACTCGGACCTGGGCAAACACAATTAACTCGAATGCCCTTCATCACCTGCTGATTTGACAATGCGCGCGTAAAGGCGACAATCGCTCCTTTGGTGGACGTGTAATCCAAAAGATCGCCTCGGCCAATGTAAGGATTGACGGATGCACAATTGATGATGGTGGACCCTTTCTTCATGTGAGGAAGAGAGTATTTGGACAAGTAAAAGAAAGAATGGATGTTGGTGTCAAATGTTCGCTCCCATTGGTCCCTACCAGACATTAGCTTGTGTATAGAAATCAGGAAGAGAACATACTCATCCAACTCACTGATGTCACTCAGCATATGCTGGAATGCTGCGTTGTTCACGAGGATATCAATAGCACCCATCTTCTGCAGAGCCACATCAATGATCTTTTGGCAATTCTCCTTCTTGCGGAGGTCAATGGCCAAGCAATGGCACTGTTGGCCATGCTCTTCTACCCTCCTTTTTGTCTCCTGTGCATCCTTTTCCTCTTCGGGCAAGTACACGATCACACTCGATGCACCTTCCATAGCGAAAAGAATTGCGACAGCTCTGCCAATTCCAGAGTCACCTCCGGTGATGATCGCTTTCTTGTCTTGAAGCTTTCCGGCAGCTTTATAGATCTGATAGCCGCCATCCTCGGTTGGGATATGAGCCGATACGGGTTTGGGATCTTCCATATTAGCCTGAAGACCCGGCTTTGTCATGTGCTGAATAGGGATTCTGTGGCCTATGTGTTTTATTGTCATTAGGTTCAAATCGACCGTGGCTTCCAGTAATGCTCACCTGGTTCAAATTGGGATTTAGATCCACTGGCCGGTCTTTCTGTGTGCTGGGAAACAGGCATCTTGGTGATTGGAGAATAGAAATGGATAGTTTGGTATATTGTTCTTTAATAGATAGATTCTGTACAGGACATGTTCAGTGCAAAGGGACCATTATATAAGGAATTCTATTCCACAGAGACCCAGGACTTCGTCACTATGACAGTCGATTTATGGTACCAAGATATTAGAGGAGTTGGTGGTGGCATATGGTCGACTAGGAATTTTGGGCCGCCAGAGATATCTCTGGTTGGTATTTCCCTGTGGCTTACTGTCGACCACATTGGGTTATTCGATGCTTTAGTGTTGCCATCGGTGAGTGTCCACTCTGGGCAGCAGCTGCATCTCCCAATCAGACGTGCTTGACTGATGTCTAGATGACGCTCTTCGTTGTTGGACGAGACAGTATATCTAGAACAATCGATATATCTGTTTGCCATTGAGGTTATATGATGGAGGATTGGCGTCATTACAGGAATCCACATGAACGCACCATATCATCTTCCTCAAGTCTCGAATGATAATCATGATCAAGCAAGGTAGTTATATAGCTAGGTAAACATGTCAACATAAGTTTACGTTTTAAGTCAAGTCAACTTTTAACGTTGAATTACTAGGGGTAGCCTGTGTGAATAACATGGACTATGTGACTTCGGGTATACACCATTGTAGATACTCCAGATACGAGGCTTTTCTTCCAATAAACAGTGCTTTATGAACAAGATAATCTAATCATTCCCTTCATAACATATTCCTATGTCTTTCTGTTCGTGTTCTACTCTATACTTCTTATCTTATCAAACTACCATTTGATTGGCTCACCGCCCGTCCACCTTCCGATAATTTTTTCCCCCCAGATCGCGTTTCCTCTACAGAAATTCTTTCGCAACGGGAAAGGCTGCCAATCAATCTGAAATGGCTCTCTCCTCCGCCCTATCCTCACCATGGGGGTTCCTCCGGCCCACTAACGATCTACATACCACCGTCGTGGATTCTGCGAAGCACATTTTGGACTCTCTCGCCGGCTCTGTCGTGGACGCCCAAACCACTCGCCGGCAACTCAACAAAAAGCGGAAAAGATCTGAACCTGAATCCGATCCAGCCATCCTTCAACTGAAGAACCTTTATGTGGATGGCTTTACTTCGAATCAAATATGGGAGCAGGCGACCCGGATTCTCGAGTCAACTGGCGATGAAGTCGAACGGGATATCACTTTGATCACCCAACACAGTGGTTATCCATCGTTGTCGGACCATGAGCAGACCCATGATGTGTCGGATCCCGAGGACGCGCAAACCGATAGTGACAGCAATGAGAACATGTTGGAGGACGTTTCCGAAGCTTCAGATGTCGAACGCAGCCCTGAAGAGGAATCTCAGATGGGATCTGACGATCTAGAGCGTGAGGATATGGATAAAGAGGATGAGATGGAAGAATGGGATGACGAAAAATCCTCGATTGGCTTTGCGGAAGAAGAGCCTGAAGTCTATGTCGAGGACCGGTTTGGGTTGAACGATGGGTTCTTCTCCATCGACGATTTCAACAAGCAGTCTGAGGCTTTGGAAAGACAGGACGTCAAGGGAGGCCCCGAAGAGGCTGACGACAGCGATGAGGAGGATGTGGATTGGCATACAAACCCGTTGATGCCTGGAAGCGCTGCGCCTGTTCGCAATGCTAACACCGAGAGGAATTCCCGTACGACTGGGGAAAATGAGGAAGACATGGATGATAGCGAAGAAGAAGGACCGACCTTTGGTAATGCTAATCTAAACGGCGACTCCGACTCCGACGATGATGCCATGGATATGGATGCCGGTGATGCGGCTGGCTGGGCGAACACCAGCGATATCAAATACGCCGATTTTTTCGCGCCCCCGCCACGCAAAGCCTCCGCTAAGAAAACACGCGCGCTCCCCAAAACCCAACCCGATGCGCCAGTTGAGGACGACGATGTTAACCGCGCCATGGCCGATGTGCGACGAGACTTGTTTGACGATGATGATGCTTCGAGTGCTGGGGAGGATGCCGCTCTTGATAAATCCGGAGACCCCGGTGCTCCACGCTCCACGCACGAGAAACAAAGGGCACGAATTGCCGATGAAATCCGTCGCTTGGAAGCGGCCAATGTTGCAAAGAAAGAATGGATGCTTGCCGGTGAAGCCAGGGCGGTCGAGAGACCTGTCAACTCCCTCATCGAAGAAGATCTTGACTTTGAACGAATTGGAAAACCGGTTCCCGTGGTTACCAACGAGACAACCGAGGATATTGAAGAGCTAGTCAAGCGCCGGATTCTTGCCGGGGAATTCGATGAAGTCATTCGTCGTCGGCCAGGTGCATCGGACGCACAGGCTACGCGAAGGGGCCGGTTTGAATTGGATGATACCAAACCTCAACAGGGTCTGGCAGAGATGTATGAAGCCGATCATCTTCGTGCTAACGATCCGAACTATGTCGACTCGAAGGACCGCAAGTTGATGCGGGAGCATGCCGAGATCACCAATCTTTGGAACGAAGTCAGCTCTCAGTTGGATACCCTATGCAACTGGCACTACAAGCCTAAGATCGCACAGGCCAGCGTCAACGTTGTCACCGACGCACCCACAATCATGATGGAGGAGGCACGTCCCACAGCTGGCAGTGCTGCTGCTGGACCGGTCGGACTTGCACCACAGGAGATCTACACCCCCGGTGATGGTGACCGAGTCGCAGGAGAGTTGGTGATGAAAAACGGGGAAACCATCTCCAAGGATGAGATGACCCGTGAGGAGAAGGCCAAAATCAGAAGGCACAATAAGAAGACCTCAAAGAAGGCCAACGCCGAGCCCGCTCGCCAACAGCCTGGCAAGGCAGCTGAAAAGCAGCAGGTGATGTCCGACCTGAAGAAGGGAGGAGTCAAGGTCATTGACAAGGAGGGTCGTGTGACAGACATCAATGGTGGCTCCGTCGAGGCAGGCGCCAAAACCAGAGGAGACACCTTGAAATTGTGAAAAAGTTGTGGGAATTGGCAGGTCTAGGGGTGTAAAATAATGGATTGAAATCTATTTTTTCTAGCATTGCACATATCACATCATGTCTCTATTGTTTTTTGGGGCCAGATCTTTTCGCCCGTATTGTGTAGAGGAAAATGTTCTCTCTGTTGTAACTCTCTGCCCCTGGGTCATCCCGGATCTCTTCCATATCAAAGGCCTTTTTGGCCATCTTCATGAACCGCAGGTCGGCTCGTCTGCGGCGCTTGAAGCAGAAGTAGCACACCGAGTTGGGACCAAGGAGGTCTTGGAGCGTAGTGATCAAGAGAGGGAATGCTGGTTCAAAGTAGACGCAGTCGGCAGCGAGAATAACGTCGGGTTTTGATGGCACCTGGCTTGGGATCGGTTCTCCCCAGTTTAGTATCGCAGCAGTCGCATTCGGGGTGAGGTTGTTTAGTTCAATGTTGGCTTCCATTAGGGAGAACATAGGCTCTTGGTCTGTGATATAGATCCGCTTCTCAAGACGACACGCGCGTGCTATGGCAAGACCGACGAGTCCACCTCCTGCGCCAAGTTCAACACTGGCGGTTGTTAGTAAACCACAAATGACACCTGGTTGAAAACCCACATTGATTTATCAGATAGATCGGTGGCATGGCGGCACAAGAGGTATTTGGCCAAAACCATCCCTGCAGGCCACAGTTGTCCACCGCATCCATCTTTAAGGTCTTCTTTTAGTAGCAATGGTTCTTTCAAGAGCCCATCAAACGTGACTTTAGTGGTCACGGCGGCTTTGTTCTCACGCGAGGGGGCCAAGGATTCACTGATGTCAAAGTCAGACAATTGACTTGGAGAACTGGGTGTTTCTATCATGGTTGAGGATTGAATAAGAAAAAAGAGAAAGTTTTGGTGGGGGTGCACTTATCGCAACAAGGATCACATAATCACTGGCGATTCTATAAATTCCCAACACTAGCAACCTAGATAGCTACTATGATTCTAGTCTTGTAGTGGAAAGCAAGACTATTGTAGTAGCTCTCGTAGCCTATCTTGATGCCTGCATCTATAATCAAAACCCCTTGCTGTCGATCAAAAAACAAGCTTGGGCCCGTGCGAACATCCTTTGAAGATCCACAAAAATCGCCTACATGTAGGCATAGTATAAGTTACCATCTACACTTCAGGTATTATATGATATAGGAGTCTTGGAATAACCTCTATTCCCGTTGGTAAACCAGTGCCATGGGGAAGCTGTGCCATGGGGTGATCCATTTGGGGTCACTTGCTAGTCTAGTTACCTAGGTGGATATACCCAAGTACAAGTATACATTCGCCTGGGCGAAGGGTAGCCCATGAAAAAGAAGGAAAAGCGACAAAGGAGAGAAAAGAAAGCACTAATCCAGCCAGGAGCTACTACACATTGAGAGATCAAATACTAAGTGTCTACAAGAACAACTTACATATTAAACCACAAGGCTATTAAAAGCACAATTCAAATCGGAGTTACGATGTCAATTTCGTGTACATTTACATCCGACATAGTAGGTTTAAGTATACAAGCATAGCACTGATCATAATCTCTGTGGAGAACAGTAGGCATAATTCAGACTAGAAATGACTTGGTATCATTTCACTTAGTCGAAGGGGTGAGTGCGTGTTCCCCACCAAGTCAAGAACAAGCTGAGTCCAACGGTTTCAAATACTCTCGAAACGGCACCAACAGCGACAGTGTCCAGGGGACGCTTCTCAGTGAAGACTTGGCTCACGAGCTAGATAATAGTTAGAACATATCCCGACAACAATATAGAACAATATAGAGAAGCATACACTTGGGGCAGATGTTGCGAAGAAGATAAGTGTTCCCAGGTAGGCCGCACCCTTGTAGCTCAGGGTGCCAGTGGCGTTAATCAATGCAGCTACACCATAGGTCTGCACGGCGCTTCCAGCAAGGGAGCTTCCCCAGGCGGCGGCGGCACCGGCAGCCTCCTTCGACTTGATGAACTCTTCCTTTGAGTTGGCAGCCTGAGCGCGGTGGTAGGTGTCTCCGAAGACGGGGGCGAGTATGCCCAGGGAGGCAGTGTGGGTGAAGACTGTGCCCAGCGCAATAGCGGAGGGCTTCACGGGAGGGAGATCTAGACCTTGTCAATACCAAATGATTCAGTTTTGATCACAAGGAACTCACAGTGCAGAGTAGTCATTGTAGATTGAGTAGTGTGTAGTTGGAGAAATCGAAGTACACCGGAAGGCGCTTTAAATGCAGGGTTAGCAGGGTGACGTCGTCATGATTCAGAAGAGGCTGAAGATGCGGAGGGCCATGACGTCAACTCACAGCCATACAAGGAAGTTGTCTATAGCAGGAATATTGAATGTAGGCAAGTTACTTGATTGTATTCGCTTTATGATTTTATCCAAAGCGTTGACTACGCCGGCTCGCCGTTGCTTATGGAATGTATAGGCTATCGGCTATCTACCTAGTAGGTATTCAATGATATATTATACAGTTGGGATATGAACGTCTATCAGAGTCATTTAGAGTCCCTTGAAATTTCTTATTTGCTTCAATCGCTCAGATCATCCAGACAAAACCGGGCAAGCCGGGGTTACATTCACTAGACCCCCTCACGATCTTAGCCAAATTGAGGTAGGCCTACCTATGCTGGAATGTGGTAAGTGAGTAATGACGATTCGTGTTAATGTGCCGCAGAGTACTCATGTAATAGCCCAGTCTAACGTAGATTGATACCGCCAGACTGGGGTTGGGGGCGTGGGGTGAAAGTGATCTGCGGGTTAGCCGTACTGCTGAATTGTCTTTGGGTTCTGTTCCTGCGGAATGTTTCTTTTGCGCCTACGTTTGAGTCTATTCTCGGGCAGAATCTCCCAGTTTTGGTCTCCTTTCCCATGGACTTTTCTGTGTATCCTCTTCTAGATATTCGTCTCAGTTCTAGTAGAAAGGGTGACTGTTTGCGCATGTTCTAGCGACTTGAATGATGCTCTCTTGGAACATAATTCTCTTGTATTTGGGATTTCTATGCATGAACCTGCAGAAGTAACAAAGAAAAGAAAGGATTGAGGCTAGCTTGAAGACGGAAAAAAAGTGTATTGATTTATGCAGATATGATCAAGCAAAGGTGCGGCAGGTATATCTGTAGAATGGTTAGCCCAGAACTAATAGTGGGAAGCGGATCATGTCCTACTTTTCGGGGTAGCCGTGCTCTGTGCCAAGCTCGTACTTGGACTGTGAGTCCTGAGGGACAGAGTTGATGTTGCAAGGAGTGGGAGGCAGACCATTGGCGCCAAATACACCCTGTATGCTCTTCTTGTCTTGCTCAAATAGAGCAGCCAAACCCCGCTCTTCACCCTGCTCCTTGACAGCAACCAATTGCTGCTCGCCAGCCTCTCCGATCTTCAGGACGTCATCCTTGGGGGCTGCCTGGCTTCCGACGGTGAGGAGGCCGACTGCGTCTGACTGGCGCACAGTGCTCAGTTGAGGGTAGCTCCTCCGGACATCCCGCTTCCAGTAAGGGTTGTCGGCAATGTCACCCGCCGGAAGGGTAACCGGATCATCGTAGGCCAGGGGAGGCAGCGAGCCGGGAGTAGGAAGGCGGTACTGAGAGTTCAAGGGGACACCGGTCGAGCGCTCAGGGTCAATAGCGAAAAGGCGACGGATCCGCTCCCAGACCCCAGTAGACTGGACCGAGTATTTCTAGCCAGCAATTGAGTAAATGACCAGCATTGAGTGTATGGACTGCCTACCTGGTTAATAGAAATGACGTTTGATGCCGCCTTTGCGGCGTTCAGGACACCGCGAGCCATGATGAGAAAGACTCTGCTCTGTTGTTGAAGGTCAGCGCGTTGTCAGAAAAAGTCTTCAAAAGACAAGAATTGACACGTCCTTGCTCAAGAGATTTGACTTACGACCTGGAATCTCTGGAAATCGTCAAGCGTCTGCGAGCGTTTGAATCAAGCCGGTGCAGGGTACATCTGGAGGTGCGATCCCCGGCACGGATTATTATCACACCGAGCCACACAGCAAATGGCATTACTAATTCGGAATGCCTACCTACCTAGGTCCGTGCACCTACCTAACGTTAACTTAGTAGGTAACTTAAGTTAACTTATAAGTTAGTTAGGTTATTGACTTCTCTTTTAGCTCTCTGTTTGCTAATTCCATAAATACTCGCAATGCCCACAGCAAGGTGTCATTATTTCTAGTCTCTCCTTGCAAGACTATATTTTTACATTTATACGTAGACAGCTCTTTTTCCATGTTAGCCACCTTTTCAACAATGCTCAATGCTGTCTGATAGCCCTGGCCCAGAAGTTACATCTTAGTTTGATTGCATCACTGGCCCTATGACTCAAGCCTAAACCGTGAGTGGTAATTGGGTGTTTTTGAATGATGTTACTTAATCCTAATATAGCTACATAAGCGCGTCTGGGAAGGTGCTAAGCTACCAACGGAAGGCTATGTTTCCTTTGCTTAGCTTGAGATCTTTTTCTTCTTTCCATTCTCCCTTCGTCTTTTTGCCCGCATATTGCCCGACATGAATCTGAATTGCCCTGCTAGCTCAACCTAGCCAAGTCCACTGGGATGCTTATGCTATCCACACTTCGGCTTAGAAACGGCATAATACGTGCCCGTTCTTTCTATAGAATACCAAATTCACTATCGCCATAGATGATACCTACGAACACAAAATCGGACATACCGGCTTCGAACCCGAAACGATCTACGCCAAAATGGTGGCACTTGGCAACCGGGTTCCTGACCTTTGCAATGTAACCCTTCACAACCAAGAGGCAGTACTCGAAGACCACATCTTGCAATGCCTTGCCCGTATGGTCTATGGTTCCAACATAATTGGACGTGCGGGAGGTAGCTCCAGTATTACATCCAAACTTTGCACAGCGGTTATTTCGTAACGAGGAAGTGGCCGAGGAGACTGGGGAAGTCGAAGAGAAATTTCTCGAGTTGAAACAAGCTCTCATACGTAAGGACCTACCCGCAGATGCCACAGTCGTCCTACGCAGTCGCCGAGAGATCGTCCAGCATGCCAAGGCAGCATCATTTCTTACTCAACAGTTGTGCATCATCGGCCAAGAACTTAGCGAGAAAGAAACGGATCCTTTAACGTACTTAGACATTGTAATGCTTCAGCACTTGAGTTTATGTATGAGGACGCCGAAGAAGATGAGAAGCCTGAGGCCCACAAGGAACTGGCAAGCTTGGTTATTGCCAACGCGGAAGAGCGTATTAGTGAATTGATTGCTTCAGTGCACCCGTGCAAATATGGAATATCGGGGAGAATACCTGCAGAGGAACCAGATATTTGTATGGGCGAAACATCCGTTGGTCCTTTTTCTTTGTTACCTTTCCAGCTGTGGGTTTGAGGGTATGCAGACAGAGGAGGGATATTCTAATCCAAGGACTACGCAGGCCTAGGCATGCGTAGATTAATGTCTACGAACGGTTTGAGGCATTTGTTTTTCTTCTGAGGCCGTTTAGAGCCAGCCAATTTACTACTATATCGCACTGCAAGGCCTCAAATGGTCTGAAGACACAAGGCAGCTTCCCAGGTTGGCAACGAAAATGGCAAGACGCGAAAACGATCTCAATTGTAAAGGTCAACTTCATGTAATAGACATCTTGCATGTCACGAATGATACGCATTTTCCAAGATCTCAAAATCTCCCTCCACGAATGGAACGGGCTTTCTCAAATTTGGTAATGAATTGTTTGTGCTTTTGCTTCGTGGAATAAATGCAGCCTCGAACAAAAGAGGGTGGCTCAGAATACCCGGTGTAAATCGGCAGTCGGCTCGATTTGCTTTCCACCTTCTCCAATAGGCCTTTTGACGTTAAATACGGCCAGTGTTGGTGCAATCATCAGGAAGATAGATGTTTCGGCAATTAGATGCCCAGGGCAAACTCTACGACCGAAGCCAAAGCTCACATCTCCGGGATCCATGGCAGAGGAAAGAAAACGCTCTGGTTGGAAGTCCCATCGGTTAGGGTAGATCGCAGAGTCATTATGGAATGACCTATATGCGTCGGACAAGCAAGGCAAATAGGGGAATGAGGAATGATTGATACCGGATGTTCAGAAAATGATCGCATCCTTGGGAGCCAAGAAACCGTTGTTATTGTCGTCCTCACCTGTTCTATGAGGAATACTCAAAGGCGCGACACTATGCCATCTGATGGCTTCTTTGCCAATTGCATTCACGTAGTGTAGCTTGTCTCGATCGGCCAAAGTTGGCAATGTAGGCTTAACAAATTATATTGTCCATCTCGGCTTGAGCCTTGCGTTGAACGTCAGGAAACACCATCATTGCCAGGAAGAAGCCCTCTAGGATCGCAACAGTCTATGATCAGCATAACCCTCAATATATTCGAGGGCTTTCCGAGAACATACCGTATCGGATCCGCCGCCATACATTGCTACTGCTGACCATTTGATGACTTCCCCGTCTTCGCCTTGTTTGGGAAGCCTTGATACGAAAAACAATTTCGATCTTCTCTGTCCATTTGAAACTTCGCGAATGCAAATGGACTGTCTAGCAGTTTCGTGAGGGGTTGAAAGTGATCGCGAGCAATTCGTTGAAAGTTAGCCCCCAGCATCCATTCTGGGACATATTTCACTGGACGAATATGAGCATGAAACCTGAAAAGGAAAGACAATACTTACATGCCGGGATAAAATCAACTATCCATGCCCCTGGAACGACGGCGACCGAAAATTCTTCAGTGCGTGATCAGCCAGACGTACTAACGGGTCTTCGCCATGAGGCTCGATGTTATAGCCGTATGTTATATTCAAAATGAAAGCACCGACAGCCCTGTAGATTTTGATAAGCTTCATTGCAAGGTGTGCTATCACTTACGTCCTGTTATGCTGGATGAACTTCTCAGGTGCCCGAAACACACGGCGTATAAACCGCTTGCCTCTAACCATTAAATCAGGACGCGGATTCTCGTGTTCCGAGACTCTCGTCACAGCTCGTCGATAGGTTCGAAGAAGTGGTGTATTATCCTGGCTTGACAGTAGCTTGCCCCATCCAGACCTCCCTTTAACTCAGAACGTGCCTTTCATGGAGAGAACGTTCTACACAAACTCAAGGTTCACCGGCGAAGACGAGGCGCGGTCGGGATGAATTCTCTGCAGAATTCTTTCCCAGGATCTGAAACGCCAGGTCTCTATCATTGATTATAATAGTGGTTTTCTCTAGAACTGTGATCGAGCTAAGAGGTCCCGCTAGGGCTTAGCTTGGTCAAAATGGCCCAAGAGAAAGCCCACCCTAAGAGATCTCTGTGCTTAAGGCAATGTTTCCGTTCCTGCATCCCCGACGGTGGAAGGTTAAGCAAATTGCTGATGATCAATCTGCCTCTTGGCCCTGGAGGTAGATTGACCTTTCTTTTTGTGAAAATTCGTAGAGCAACCAGGCCCAAAGCGAAGACGACCAAGTGTATATTAACATCATTGTTAGGATGAAGGTGAGAGTTGGATCCCCGTAGTTGATTGGTCGTATATACATATGCATCGGGAGTCTGCCAATATAACACGTCTCTCACCTCGAACATCCGATTATAGGCCATCTTCTGTGGTGCGCCTTAGTCTAGCTATATAGTTATTCAACGAACTTAACTTGAATGCCTAGACTGCAATGCTCAGATGAACATTTGATGAGGTTGAACTGCCTGTAAAAGCCACTGTCGCACATGCACTGCCTGGTATCTTAATGTCGCTGATAATAAATGTACATGCGTGAAATCACTCGGGTTTATCATCTTCCTTGCTGTCATCCTTGGCATTGGCGATAATCTTTTGAACAGCGTCCACAGTGGCGTCTGGGCCACCGGCCTCTCGAAGCAAGACTTTGCCCTTCTTATCCACGGCGAAAACACCGCGGGTCGTTCCCTTGGGGGACTTCTTGAATCCAATGGCTGCAATAAGTGTGGCCTTAGTGTCGCAAATCAGAGGATATGGCAGGTTTTGTCTTGTCTTGAAGGTGGTGTTGGCCTTGGGAGAGTCTCCCGAGAGGCCGTAAATGGAGAGACCAGTGGAGGTCAAATGCGTGTGGTTGTCACGGAACAAGCATGCTTGCTTAGTGCCTGAGTAAATGGTGAGCTAGTGAGCTTGAAAAGAAGCCATTGAATGTTGCTAGGCAGTAATAAAAACTCTCGCAGCCTGGAAAATTAGGAGCATGAGCTCCCAAAGGGCCACGGTTCCAGATTCCAGATTGATGAGGGATTGGGATGATGACTTACAGCCAGGAGTGGAGGCTTTTGGATAAGTAAACAGCACCACACCTGCCTTGCTCTCATCAACGAGCTTGTGTAGGGTGGTTTTCACGCCGTCATTGATCTCAATCTCACCCCCAAAGGTCTTCAAGTCGATTGTATCGTCGGTTTCCGGGACCTTTGGCGCGGGGCTTTCTTCAGTATCAGTCTCTGGCTCCTTGGGCTTGGGAGCCGGCTTGGGCTTCTTCTCTGTGGTGGGAGGCTGAGCTGGTGCCTTGCGCTTCCTGAGTTCGACCATGTTGAAAGTGTAGAGGACAGTGATCTCCAAAGATCTGGAACATAAGCTCTGGTCTCAGCACCTGGTTAGTCAGCCGGGAAAACCCGCGCCCTGACCCGTGAAAAAATTGGATTTTCCCCTCGACTGACGGATCGTCCAAAATCCACCTTTCTCCATTTTTTCTCTGCTTAGACTCTTACTCATATTCGCCTCCCTTGACTAGATTTCTTTGACTTTCATCTGGGAACCTCACCATTCCCCATTCACCTACTCACCCTCACCTCTCTACCTGCTTAGTCGCTTAGTCGCCTAGTCGCCTTTTCGCCTCTTTGCCCATCTTCTTCGACTCAGGCAATCACATCCGCTCTTCTGATACTTTCCTACGACTGAGACTGTCTTGAACAGTGTCAGGGGAGCCAAACCCGCCATAATGAAGGTTTTCTCCTCAGGATGCACCTTCGACTACTCGTGGGACGAGGTGTCTACAGCAAACTGGCGCAAATACTGTCCGTGGAACGACAAGTCCACCCACGTTGTGGGAGTAGACACAATTTCCCGATCGGTTGATCCAAGCACTGGAATCGTGAGTTGCTTCGACATGGCATGAGTGAATACGGTGATTCCTAACTGACTCATTTCTAGTTGCGAACCGAACGTCTTATCACGTGCAACCAGTCTGTCCCACAATGGGTTCTCTCGCTGCTTGGTGGAACTACCACATCCCACGTCTATGAAATCTCCTATGTCGACCCAGTTGCCAAGAAAGTTACTATGTGCTCTACGAATCTCACATGGTCGAATGTCCTCAGCGTCCGCGAGACTGTCACCTACCGTCAATCCTCCCTTAGCCCGACCACTACCACCGATTTTACTCAAGAAGCGAAAATTACTGCTCTTTGCGGTGGATGGCAGAAGATCAAAAACAAGGTCGAGGATGCCAGCGTCGAACGATTCCGTGAAAACGCCAAAGTTGGCCGCGAAGGCTTTGAGGCTGTCCTTGAAATGAGCCGTCGCGTCTTCGGCGAACAACGTGACCTCGAAAAGCAACGAATGCAGGCATAAACCACCTGTCACCATCGACATCTTTCAGCACCGTCTTTTAATACCATTTGCATAAAGCGACTGCATATTCCGGCGTATGTTCTGCATTTCGAAGCATGTGGCGCGTGGAGTTTTCGTTTCATCTTTCCTTTAACCCTCGACTCCTGTGGACCAAACACCACTCATGGCCTTAAAAAGTTTGCACACTCCATCTTTTCAGCGCGTTATCTTTTATGATCATTTCATTTGCCTTCTTCGAAGGCAAAGATGTACCATTAGAAGCACTCGAACTTAGATTTGAAATTCTATCATCGTACAACATGACCTTGAAACCAGCCCCCC